TGTCATTATCCTCCCTTGTATTTATCCATATGTTGTAGATATCCTAATCATTATAGGATTAGGATAATCATCCCCTTTATTTGTAGCAATCCTTATCTCCTAAGGAATATGCTTTATTCTCTTGTATGTATATATATATGTGTAACCACGTGATTAATAATACAATGAGAGTTACAACCTTCTTTATTCTTTAACAATAGTCTAAATGTATAGATTTCTACTTTCTTGAGAATATTTTAGCAGCATTAGAGTTCGTGTCACAATCTTTAACACTAGAAAATAAACTTGAGTGTTTAATTTGAACTATGTATTGTAATGTCAATTTTTGCTTTGACTATAAAGTTTTTTACTTTAAGTTAAACATTTATTCTTACAAATATATATCCCAAAAAAATTCCACCTTACCCAATAAAAGCAGATGGCAGCTCTTTTGAAAAATGCGATACATTGGTTGAGGCAAATCATATTGTCTTAAATTTAAACTGGAAATAAAACGTGTTTAATTATTTAAATTTTTGCTTAATGTACTCGCATATGAATTCAGTGATAGACTGAAAGTTAATTGGACTTGTTTCTTCTATACCGAAATAGCCACTTAGTTGAAGTTCATTGTCTTACCATCTGAATTTATTCCCTTAGACTTTCTTTTGAAACACTTTTTTTAAAACACTATTCAGATAGGTCATGCAGTGTCCATACTGATCGAATTAATAATATTTGTTTTGTGTGTTGCGCTTACTCACTCGAGATTCGAGTAGAAATATTCTTGTATGTTGTTTGTTCATACTTTTAAATCGAGCGTGTGGTCTAATTGTGGCCACGAGGTTTCATGTACAGTGATGTCGTACATATATTAATTAAACCTCTTTTTTGAATCAAATATTAATTAAGACTTTATACATCTCTTTTGCCTCCTCTTAAAGTCAGATAAAATTAAGATTGTGTCTCTTTCAAGACTCTATTAGTTCAATTCTTCTTAACCATTCCCAACTAAATTTGCGAAACACAAAGATATAAAAGAAAAATCGATAGTATCTTTAAGCGAACAAACATTATCTTGAAGGCCATTCCAGTCATGAATTAATTTATATATCTAAATTAGATTTGTAAGCTCTTTAATTTATACATGGAGAACTAGTATTAATCAATACCTATTTCCAAAGAAAACTACAGATGGTAATACAAATGTATGGTAATCAGTTTTGTAGTAACAATGTTGTGTATACACAGGCGAAAAATAAGAAAGAAATCTGAAGGCCTGTATGTAAGCTAATTATAAATATATATGTAAATCTATATACACAGAAAAAATGCTATTGTGTGTATATCTTTCATCTTTTTTTTGGATCAAATATATCTTTCATCTTTATTTACGAAATGGCCAAGGCTCCGAACTAGTTTGCCTGCAAAAAGAAAACCAAACTAATGTTAATAAACTCGTACATTCAGCAATTAAAAGATTAAATATATGTGGAGAAAAAAATATATATATGTATGTGCAAACGTTTAGGTTATCTAACTTACTCTATGATTTCTTTCCAATAAGAATCACTTGCTTCATCATCAATTATATCACACCATGGCTGATGGTCTTGTGTGAACGTTGAGGTCGATGAAATGTACGAAGTATGATCATTATGCTTCAAATTTCCCTTGTTCTTGATCATCATTTGGGTTTGCTTAGACTCATCAAGAGAGCCCGAAATCAATGGAGGAATCATATTTTGATCATCTTGATGAGAAAGTACTCCAGTCGGGCTAGAAAACGAATCCAGAGGTTGGTGATCAATGTGAGGGAGGCTAATTTGGGTTGGGTCATAGAAATCTTCACTTATATTTGGTCGATTCTCTAAGAAGGAAGATTGGTCAAAGATGTTATTGTTGGTGTGATGAATGTCAAAGGAAGAAGAAGAGGTATTGTTATTGTTGTTGAGGACTTGAATCATGCTATGTAACAATTGGGCTTTTGCAACACTTGTTGCATCCAGTTGTATGTTTTGATTTAGAGTCAAGAGGTTATTGAAATTTGCAGCAGCTAGAAGTTGCGGTAGAGCAGCTAGAACATTTAGATGGTCGGTTCTTGGCCTGTGGGTCACTGGGTCGATCCCCATCTGAAGAAGTTTCTTTCTAATATGTGTGTTCCAATAATTTTTTATTTCGTTATCAGTTCTTCCAGGAAGATGACCAGCTATGGACGACCACCTTTAAGATATATGTAAAAAAAAAATTAGTTAAGCCATGGTATAATTATTTGGTGGGTTAGTTAAGCCTTCTACGTATGCATGCACCTACAAAAACCCAGTGTGGTAGGTTAACCTATGTATAATTTTATACCTAAACTAACCAAAAACAATATACTAGCGCATTTTTTCGCACTTTTAGACTAAATAGATTTAAATTTTGGAAAACACTAAAATCTACTATTAGTTTTAAGCTAGTAAACTTCCTATATAATTAAAAGACTGAAAATATAGTGTGTTTAATCACACACTATCATATTTTTTACTAAAAAATATTCCTTACTTTTTCTTTTATTTATTTTCATCTAAAATTGTTTCAAAATCTAATTAGTTTAGTCAAAATAAAAATACTCATAATTAAACAAATAATAAGAACGTATAAACACAAATTTCTCTAAGAAAAATGTATACAACACATTAATAGTTAGATTTTAAGAACTCGTTTAGTATAGAAACTTTGATATGTTTCTATGTGTTTTTTTTGCTCTTGGTCTCAAGTAGGATAACTAAAACAATTAAAATATCAACTTAAATTAGTTGTCTTGTTTGGAGAAAAAGTAGTTACTTGTTTCCAAGAAGAGAATGAAGGTTGATGATGGTTTGGTCTTCCTCAGCAGTGAAGTTTCCTCTTTTGATGTCTGGTCTCAAGTAGTTAGTCCATCTCAATCTGCAACTCTTCCCACACCGGTTTAAACCGGCTTGCTTTGGAAGAGCTCTCCAGCTTCCATGACCGTTTTTTTGTATGTGATTTATCAGTTTCTGGTCTTCCTCTGGTGTCCATGGCCCTTTCTTTAACCCACTCTCATCGCAACACGGTGATCTTCCCATTTTACTATTGCATATATTATATGAATCTGTAAATTGAAAAACATTTTGACATAAATTGTATAAAAACCGAGTATACTTAATATACATTAATACTAAAGTGTTGTTAACAAATAAAATTTCTTTTTAGAAAATAAACTCTTTTAATGATATAACAAGTTAGTAAACGTTAACACACTTTTGAAAACAAAAAGATCGGATAAATGATTACAGAGGAGACTGTTAACTAAGTAAGCATTATATGTATATGTGTATGTAAAATACCTGTAAGAATGAGAGAAATTTGAAAAGAGGGAGATGAATGGGGAAGGCTTGGTTAATGAGGGTAAATGCTTTGTTCTTTGATTTATATAGAAACATGGAAGAGGCTTTCGTCTTTGTCTTGTGTATTGTCGGACAAGGAGATCGTGCATAGCTTTCATGACTTGTCCTTTGACTTTAATGATTTAGTCGTATCAAACAATATAACGAAATGCCCTTGGTGAAAGCTAGAAGAAAAACGAGGAAGAGGAGAAAAATAAGATGTTTAAGTTTGTGAAGCAATGTGTGGGATAAAAGTTGCTGCAACTAATTCATGTTGACATTGTAAAGCATCTAAAAATAATTCAGGATAAAAGCTATATATTTAAATAAGAAATAGACTATAACTAATAACTCTCGTATTCGTTCAAATTACAAGATATATATATTTTTTATTAAAAATATAATTTTAATAAATATATACACTAGTCATAAACTTTGGCATAAGTGTCACTGACATTTTTTTTTATTTACATTTCACTCCGATTTTTACAATCTTACTATAGTTATCGACTTCCTATGCTGGTTTTGAAGTTTGGTAAAAAAACGACTTACTAACTTTTTTGTTACTGATTTGGCAAAAAAAAAAAAAAAAAAACGTTTTTGTTATTGTACTATATATGTTTATTTTGTTAAAGGTTGTCCTATATATTATACATGTTAGCGGTAAACCTTATTTATTATGTTGATGACCTACAGTCTTATCATAGATTATATTTCAACTATTCATATAAAAGTTTTGCATCACCCTTTAATCGAATTTCCGTGGAACTCAGTTCGAACCACTATCTTGACTTGAGTATGTTTCGACGAGAAAACATGTCCTAAATAATTTATCTTTTTATCTGTTATCGAATAGCTTATGTTGAGTAACACATGATATGGGACTTCTGAACCGTGTATGTTTATGCGCTACTGGTATAATTATTTAACATTTCAAAATCAAATTTTTAATGTTACGTTGACCCAACTATATATGATCGGATAGGCAGTGTATATACAATAGTATGAATTACTGGTCATTGGTCAACTAATGACACATCTGAACTATTAGGTAGTACACAATTAAATTTAACCAAGTCTCGATATGGTTGTTCATTATTGGTATAAATCTAGTTTTTTTTATTGCACACCAGGACACGCAAACAATTTTGTTTGAGATCATACAAGCCCACGATATGGCTTAATTGTATATATAGATTTTGCTGACATTGGTTCAGAAGATGTACTTAAAACATATATAGCATCCTGAGATTTAATCAAACGTTAGCATCCCGAAAGCAAATATTTACTTGGTTAAACGAGTATATATATATACTTTATAAAACGTGTTTTAACAGAAGAGCCTCATCAATCATATATATATATATATATATCTTTCACAATTAATGCTAAAATTAAGATATCCTCAATTTTGTTTCTTCCTCAAAATAATAAATGACAAAGTAAATTATCCTAATCCCTATAGTAATTTTCTCTCTAATGCACAAACGAACACCATAGATTATAAATACGGACGTTAGTTCTTTTTATGTGCTCTATACGTACATGTACACGGCACATACATAGAATCAAGTATAATTTGTGTATTATTATATACGTACACACATAACTGGACCTTCAGTATTTGCTAAACGACAAATGGGAAAAGAAATAATACACTCACGCAAGCTAAAACCTGGCTGTATTTTGCCACAATGCTCGTAGTTCCCAAAGCGTAACACAACATAACTTAACAAGTAATTAATTGACTTAATTAACATAAAATGTTCAGTTATCTCTTACGAGCCATGCAATGTAACGTGACGTTAAGGATTTAGAGAACGTTTTCTTTAGCACTGTCACTAGTGGACGAAACCAGACTGAACTTCTGACGCTTATATGTTTGGTCACTGAAATGAATTCAAAGAAACTAGTAGATTCTTAAGCCAGTACTATATGAATTAATTTAACCCACACTAGTAAGTTTGAACTAAGATGATTTTGGCTCAAAAGTCAAAACCCCTAAAGGTTAGCTCTAAGATCCCGCAACGGTGATACCAATTAGAGTCCTCATTAAACTAAAAATAATAATATAAATGCTAACTAATTGTGAGTCGACGCGTATCATGAAACCCACAAATAGTGGAAGAATTCACTAAAAAAAATCTTTATTTAGAAATTTTTAAAAATGAATTCTTAACTTTATGTGGTATCTATTAATTATTTAATTATTATTATTTTTTAATAATTTCTATTAAGAACCACCGTTGCGAATGCTCTAATCTTATGGAAGTAGTACTTTAAAATGTGTATAATAATGTATACACGGGAATCATTACTCTCTGGAGGTTGCCTTTCTGTTCATAAACCTAATCAGGACCAAGAACTTACCTTATTACCGTACTCAGTATCGTTTTCTGGTCGATCTCATGATGATCTCAACATTATAATCAAATCAGATCTCTATTTTTTTTTTTAGTTATAGCTCATTTTTGTTGCTGATCAAGAAGTTATAGCTATCTAAAAAATAAAGTGAACAAAATTCATATACATTGTAACCAAATACATTAATATGTATCTGATTTGGTTACGCAACATCAAGAATAATGAGTCGGTCAAGATTTATTGTTTAATTATAAAAACCAGATAATACGTAGATTCAAGATGAATGGAACAGATGAACAATCATATCTCTTTTACCTTCTACGTATACTTTAGTTAATAACAAAGCTTTCGTTAAACTAGAGACTTACCCTATTTGAAGCAACTATGTTTACCTTTCTCCACTTTGTTATCCGTTCAAAAGTCAAAAGATTATGAAACATATAACTTTAAGACCACATTCAAAGTTATTATCAGGTTTGCTAACTTTGAGAAACTGTAAGTTTGTTCAGTCAAAAAGGAGTTATAAACTCTATCGAAAAGTTACTTAACGTGAGAAACTTGCATTGCAAGGTACCTACCATGTTTCAAAAACCAAAGAAAGTTAAGTTCTTTGTAATTTAGTTCTTCAAAGTCAAAGAAACAAGGACTCGTCTAGAAGAACTCTAAACAAAAGGATTATGTCAGTTTTCTGGTTACCAATATGATAAAGAATCAGGGTTTATACGTGTACAAACCTTCATGTGCTACATTCCACGTAATGTTATGAGAACAAGGGTTTATGCGTAATGCAAAAAAGTTTGTATTCATTGAGCAAGAAAAAAAAAACACACAAACCATACATAAACAGAGATTTTGTTTCTGAGTTTGTTGGTGACACAAGAACAAAAAAAAATAGTAAAGCCAAATAATCCAAAGAAGAAAATAATCAAACTGAACAAAAACCTATTTCAAAAGCCATAAAAAAAAGAAAAAAAAAATAGAACACTGTAAAAAAAAACTGTAAAATCAAAGAGATGTTTCTTTCTTCTCGAGATGATAACTTTCCAACATACTATATTCAACTTCAACTGTATCATCATCATCATCATCATTACCATCTGAAGAATCTTCTTTAGCACCATTCACCTCAGAAAACTCAACCACCTTTGGAAGCAAATCATAGTCTTGTTCGCTCTCACATTCATCTTCTTCTGCATCTTTTTTGACCAATGCTTCCTCAAGCAACTTCGATAACTCATTGATCTTCTTCAAAGAATCATTCTCTTTACCTCTTAGTAAATCATTCTCATGAATAACGCTTTGAAACTCAGTTTCTTTATCCAACATTTTGGCACTTAGTTTCAAGCTTTCACCTCTCACTTCTCTAAGAGTTTCCTGAAGATAACTCACCTCATCTTCCACTTCTTTAAGATCATCTCTCATCTCAGCTTCTTTCTTCAACGCCTCATCAGCTTCTTCCTTTGTCTTCTCAACCAAATTACGCAACCTATTCATCTCCTTCACCATTGAATAAACCTCTTCATCAAATTTCTTCACGTAAGTCACCAAACCAGCCTCTCTTATCTCCCAATCCACCTTTGACCTCTCAAACTGTTTCTTGTTTTGTTCCATCTCGTGAAGAATCTTTTCGTGCTTCTCGTTTGTTCCTTTGATGACCAGCTTCAGACTTTCTACATGTGTCTCGTAATCCTCACTACCTAAACTCAACAACTTTTCTTTCATCTCACGTGCTTCACTAGACACTTCATGCAGCGATGAAGCTAAACTCTCCATAGCTTTCTTACTCTTCTCCTCTTCCTCTTTCAACCTCTCCATCTCTGAAAAGATCTCACTATTCTCTTCTAGAAGAATCTGAAGACTTGAAGATGCATCTTGTTCTCTCTCATTCACAGTTTCAAGCTCAGTCTTGAGTTTCTCTACCTCTTCTTTGCTTCCTTCTAACTCTTCCTCCAACTCCATGGATTTTTTACACCACTGGTCAGCAGAGCCGTTTGCATAAGACTTAGCCATCATCAAATCTTCTACCTCACCATTAAGCTTCTCAATGATCCTCCCACGTTCTTTAACCTTTGCTTCAAAACATCTCGCCTTCTCAAGCTCGCTTTTCAAAGCAGCAATCTCGTTGTTGGAGATGGTTTCTTTCTCTCGGGTTTTACTAATCATAGTCTTCAACTTTATCAAATTTGATGATAAGATGTCCACTTTCTCTTGACGAATAGCAAGAGACTTGCTAGCATTCTCTGCTTGACTCAAAAGCATGTTCTTATCATCGTTGGCTGCAGCCAATGCTTGAGTTACTTTCTCCAGCTCCCTGGTTACTAAAAGAAGAACAGCTGAGTCTGAAGCATGTTGGTTCTTGACAATCTCAAGTTCTTTCTTTAGTTCTTCTTCTTTTCTATGAAAAGCCTCTACTCCTGCTTCAACGGCCTTGAATTTTTCAATCTCGAAATTCTCCTCTGCCATCTTCTGAGCTGCTAAAGACTCATACAGTTTCTTGAATGCCTCTTTCCGCACTTGTTCAAGTTCCTCAAGTGCTAAAGCTTTATCATTCTCAAGTGATGCTATCAGCTCTTTTGCTTTCTTTAGATCTTCTTTAAGTTGGATCGATGATGATCCAGTCACAGACCGTGTAGGAGTTTTCTGCGAAGAATTATCATTAGACAACAACAATTGATATCATTATATTGAATCGTGACAAAACTTACTTCTGGTGGGGTTGGAACTTTACGAGACCTCCTTTCAGAAGAAGTCTCTGAGTTAGCAGAAGAGCGGTCAAGAGAAAGGCGTGAACGTTGAGTGGGTGAAGGAGAATTAGGTTCAGAGCTACGAGTCAGTTTAGGCACTCTTAGAGATCCTGGAGATGGTTTGCGCAAAGTGGTTTCGAATATAACAGTTCTGTTCGAGAAAACAACCAAAAAGTCTCATCAGTGCAAGCAAGATAAACACATTAACAGTACTTAGTAGCACTAAGACAATACAAGCATCACGAATTAAACAAGTGCTTGTAGCTAAAAATAGAATATTTTCCTCTTTTGATTCAAAGATCAAAAAATCTAAACAGTCAAAACCGGTATAAAAAAAAAACTTGAAAGTTAGAAACAGAAATCAAATAAAAAATCAATATAAATAAATACAACAGCTAAGAACACGACAAATAATCGTAATTAAAATATAAGTGAATCAGCTTTGATAAAATTTTATGAGATTAAACCCTAAAAACATAGACCTAATTAGATATACCTAACCATATACTATCTCTGACAATGAAAACAAAAAAATCAGAGAAACTCTGTTTATGAAACATATCAGAGTTTTGAATTATTAAATTCTCAACCAACGTAAAAGACATGCAATTTGAAGAGAGATAAGAGACGCTTACTTAATCTTAGAATCCATAGCCACAGTCTCAGATTGTTGCTGCTGCTGCTTCTAAAGATAAGTGATCAACCTGAAAAATAAAAATCAAATTTGCTTAGAATTGTGTTTCAATGTTTTAGTAGAGATCAAGAAAGTAACACAATGATTAGGTTAAGGAAACGAACGATGAACTAACAGAGAATGATAGAAGCTTGGTAAGGTTTTGTCTAGCCACAAATAAAACGAAGAGCAGCATACTATATATACTCAAATAAATTTAAACAAAATCCCGATTCGTATTGCAATCCTACGAGAAAATCGCAGACGATAACCACCAGACAAATTAATTTATAAACATTAAATAATGGATAATTACAATTTATAAACTAATACCACGTGGGATTAGGGACTTGACAAAACTAACATTTATCAAAAAGAAAAAAAAACAATTTAATTAATGAAATCCTTTTTAAGTGAAAGATTATGTCTTAAACAACCGTCTCTTGCTCACAGCTCGTAGCATGATGTTCACCTTCAACAAACCCCCCATATCCTGTAACTTGTCTTAACGCTAAGCAGTGGATTAGCTTGTCTGAATTCGAACCAAATGTGATGTTTTTTGTGTGTTAGAAACATGATTCCTTTAGTGTCGTTTTCAACTGGCATTACGTGATTAAGTGGTTGTTAATTATCTGTTACTGATCACTCTCTAAGAATCATATATGTGTAATTTAGTGTACAGTTAAATATCTGTTCTTTTGATGGGCTTACTGATGATGATATATTTGCAGATGTGTGTGTGGTTAGGTGGTTTGTTATCCAGATTATTATATAAAACAATAATAACCAGATAAAGATTCTGATTCAGAACTGATGAATCATGATCAAGCAAGAAGGACGCCTATGAAGATTATTTATGTTATGTTTAACTTTAATGTCTGTTGTGTTTTCTTTTCGAACAAGTTATGTATGGCAACAATAATCCTACAATTATCCCAATCAAAAATCTCCTTTCGCTGTTATTTTCTAACTAAATTTGTTTTCCTTTGCATAGTTGCATTATGCACTAACATAATATTAATATTAAAGAGGTTTAAGACATTAGATGTTTCCGTTTCTCTAAAAAATAGAGAATTTTATAGGGATTAGTCTATTTATTAGGTGGTAAATTAAGTTTTAATAAATTACTTAATGATAAATTCGAAATGATGCTCATGTACCATGAAAATAAGTTTACCATACATACATATAAATTTAGAGTGTGATTAGTTATTTTCAAATAACACTAAAGAGATTAAATATTATAAATAGTATTTATCAGAAAATTTAGTATTTTCGTAGGGGTTCACCCACATATTTCAAGATAAATAAGAAAATATGATATTTTTCTTTTATTGCATAGATGCATCATGCACTAACATAGTATGAATATTAAAGAGGTTTAAGACCTTAGATGTTTTCGTTTCTCTAAATATGGAGATTTTATAGGGATTAGTCCAATTTTTAGGTGGTGTATGAAGTTTAAATAAATTACTTAATGAAAAATTCGAAATGATGCCCACGTACCATAAAAATAAGTTTACCATACATATATATAAATTTAGGGTGTGATTAGTTATTTTAAAAAAAACACTAAAGAGATTAAATATTATAGATAGCATTTATCAGAAAATTCAGTATTTTCGTAGGGGTTAGCCCACATATTTCAAGATAAATAAGAAAATATGATATTTTTGTTTTATTACATAGATGCATCATGCACTAACATAGTATGAATATTAAAGAGGTTTAAAACCTTAGATGTTTCCGTTTCTCTAAAAAATAGAGATTTTATAGGGATTAGTCCACTTATTAGGTGGTATATGAAATTTAAATAAAGAGTGATTTAGTGAACTACCCATATTTGAAGCTCAAATTAGCAAAATACCATTGACTGGACATGAAGGACACTAACACAACCATTTGGCAAGGAAATGCCGAGAATGCCCTTTCTCTTTCCTCTCATTAACACGAAGCGTAAAAACATTTGTTAACATATAACACTTCTGTTAACGTCTACAATATTTGTTAACAGCCAACACATTTATTACCGCGAAGCGTAAAAATAATTGTTAACAATTAACACTTCTGTTAACGTCTACAATATTTGTTAACAGCGAACACATTTATAAACACGAAGCGTAAAAATAATTGTTAACAACTAACACTTCTGTTAACGTCTACAATATTTGTTAACCGCTAACATGACGTCGAATCAAAAACCCAGAAAATTGATATCATCGAAAAATTGAGGATTCAAAGCCACTTATGAAAAAAATAATGAAATTTAAAATTTAATTGAATATAGAATGATAGAGATTTGTAAAATAATTAGGGATTTGAGAGAAGAAAAAAGGTCAAAATTGAGGATTCAAAGCCACTTATGAAAAAATAATGAAATTTAAAATTTAATTGTATATAGAATGATAGAGATTTGTAAAATAATTAGGGATTGAAGAGAAAAAAAAGAGGGGAGATGTCAAAGAGAGGAGAGAGAGTGTAGAGAAGGGCAAAATGGTCCAAAGGAAAGTGATTGTCACATCATGGGCAATTCTCTAATTATAGGTGCCAAATAGGGCACTTTAGCCAATTATCTCTTAAATAAATTACTTAATGAGAAATTCGAAATGTTACCCATCTACCATGAAAACAAGTTTATCAAACATGTATATAAATTTAGAGTGTAATTAGTTATTTTAAAATAACAATAAAGAGATTAAATATTATAGTTAGCATATTATAGAAAATTTAGTATTTTCGTAGGGGTTAACCCACATATTTCAAGATAAATAAGAAAATATGATATTTTTCTTTTATTGCATAGATGCATCATGCACTAACATAGTATGAATATTAAAGAGGTTTAAGACCTTAGATGTTTCTATTACTCTAAAATGGAGATTTTATAAGGATTAGTCCAATTTTTAGGTGGTATATGAAGTTTAAATAAATTACTTATAGGGATTAGTCCACTTTTTAGGTGGTATATGAAGTTTAAATAAATTACTTAATGAAAAAATCGAAATGATGCCCATGTACCATGAAAATAAGTTTACCATACATATATATAAATTTAGGGTGAGATTAGTTATTTTAAAGAAACACTAAAGAGATTAAATATTATAGATAGCATTTATACGAAAATTCACTATTTTCGTAAGGGTTAGCCCACATATTTCAAGATAAATAAGAAAATATGATATTTTTCTTTTATTGCATAGACGCATCATGCACTAACATAGTATGAATATTAAAGAGGTTTAAGACCTTAGATGTTTCCGTTTCTCTAAAAAATGGAGTTTTTATAGGAATTATTCCACTTTTTAGGTGGTATATGAAGTTTAAATAAATTACTTAATGAGAAATTCGAAATGATGCCCATGAACCATGAAAATAAGTTTACCATACATATATATAAATTTAAGGTGTGATTAGTTATTTTAAAAAAACCCTAAAGAGATTAAATGTTATATATAGCATTTATCAAAAAAGTCAGTATTTTCGTAGGGGTTAGTCTACATATTTCAAGATAAATAAGAAAATATGATATTTTTCTTTTATTGCATAGATGCATCATGCACTAACATAGTATGAATATTAAAGAGGTTTAAGACCTTAGATGTTTCCGTTTCTCTAAAAAAATGGAGATTTTATAGGGATTAGTCCACTTTTTAGGTGGTATATGAAATTTAAATAAATTACTTAATGAGAAATTCGAAATGATTCCCATGAACCATGAAAATAAGTTTACCATACATATATATAAATTTAAGGTGTGATTAGTTATTTTAAAAAAACCCTAAAGAGATTAAATGTTATATATAGCATTTATCAAAAAAGTCAGTATTTTCGTAGGGGTTAGTCTACATATTTCAAGATAAATAAGAAAATATGATATTTTTCTTTTTATTGCATAGATGCATCATGCACTAACATAGTATGAATATTAAAGAGGTTTAAGACCTTAGATGTTTCCGTTTCTCTAAAAAATGTATTTTTATAGGGATTAGTCCACTTTTTAGGTGGTATACGAAGTTTAAATAAATTACTTAATGAAAAATTCGAAATAATGCCCATGTACCATGAAAATAAGTTTACCATACATATATATAAATTTAGGGTGTGATTAGTTATTTTAAAAAAACACTAAAGAGATTAAGTATTATAGATAGCATTTATTAGAAAATTCAGTA